CTTGAATCGGGACTAAGCTGTTGCAGGTCTCGGTCCCTGGCTCTTGGGACAGCTCGGGGGTTTGGGCTCGTCAGGGGCAGGGAGGCAGCGGAGTGACACCATCGAGCTCTGCAGTTGGCGCTCGTGAACAGAACACCGCGGCGTCTGCTGCATTCCGCGGTCTAATGTCGATACGGTTCCACTGCCCAGTGGTTGTTTCCCTCCCTGCTGTTTTTCCGCTGGGAAGTAGAGTGAGCCACTGCACTTAGTGCTCTGTAGCGGGGTTAGGATGTCTCTGTATAAATGCACAAGATTCTTTTCCCTCTCTATAACTACCTGACAGGAGATTGTAGTGGGGTGGGGGCTGGTCTCTTCTACCCTGCCTGCAGTGAGATGCAGGGAAATGGCCTCAAGGGAAGAGATTGGAAATACAAATTTCTACACATACTAGAAAAAAGAAAACTCATTGTTTGAGTGGTCAGGCATTGGAATAAGTTGCCCAACGAGGTGATGGAGTCACGATCCATGGAAGTGTTTTAGAAACGTTTGAACCTGGTGCTCGGTGATGTGTTTTAGAGGTTCAGGGATTGCAGTGGCAGTGCTGGGTTGCCATTTGGTCTTAATGATCCTAAGTTCTTTTCAGCATTGATTCTATGAGTAGAACTGCCTTGTCGGGTCTCCTTAAATCCTCTGTAAATGGAGTGTGTATGTGATCTTCGATATATCCAGAAACCTTTGCCATATGCTTTGTTGTTCATTGCCACAAGTACGCTCTTGGTGCTCTGGATCATGTCACAACAGCCATGTGTGCGATGGCAGCACGTGAGTGTTGTAGAATCACAGTGCAGTTGGGGCTGGAGAGGATCTCATGAAAAGAGTCCCACCTCAAATTGCTTATTTGCAGCAAGTATTTCAGCACAGCTACAATTTATTGGGCTAAATGTAGTGCACAATAAATGACCTTGTAACACAGTAGAATTAAGTTTGGTGTAATTCCTGCTAACAATGTAGCCTTGTTGGATATATGTTGATTCAGTAGAGCAGGCTAAGTATTTAATGAATATTAAATTATATTAAGATATATCTCTGTAGAGGTATGCTGAATTTTGTAATTAGGTCTTAGCATTTAAAACACTGGAATTGATTTGCTTAGCCTTGAATGTACTTATATTTGAGACATGAGGAACAGAGTCTGCAGGTATAAAAATGTATTTTGTATGTGCCATTAATATATTTCTCTTCCATATGACTATATGAATGTGTCAATATGTCATTTTAGCTATGGCACCAGTGTTTGTTCATTGATCTAAGTCTTAAGAAATGCACTTTACAAGTAAATTTTTTGATAAAATTTGCCTTTTAACTGTTCTCCTACTTAAAAGTTTAATCATGTTGTTTCACTAAAGTAGTTTTTATAGTGTAAATTCTTGTATATGAAAGGAATTGTGATTTCTTTATGATTTTTGAAAAACATGATTTTTTTCTCATGAAGTCTTTTCCTTTTTTCTTTTTTTTTTTTTTTCTTTTCCACAGGGGTTAGAATACTTATTCAAAAGGCCTTGAGATGCTCCTCTCATTTGTAGGAGTCCGTGAGTGCTGTGGTCTAGTATGGGAAGCTACATTTGGAAAATTGCAAGCAAAAAAGTTTTTCCTTTCAGTGTAGGTCCTTATTTAAAGTAATTGAGTGCTTGCTTGTGTGGCCTAATGGGGTTGAAAGATCAGGTCCAGTTTTCTTTACTGTGTGCTGGCAGTGTGGGCAAATGACCTTTGTGTGTGGTTCCATGACAAGTGAAGGCAAAAGATGGTAGTCTACTTCTGTGCTGTTTGGAAGCTGTATTTTCAAGTTCCAAAGCAACAGGAGAATGAAACATTCATCAGTTTCTTTTGTACCAAAAGCTTAGAAATCAGGTTATAAACATCAGCACCTGCTGGGATGGGACTATCAGGACTCCTCTGTGCGGTTGCAATGCCAGTTAGGCCATGACTTTAAGCTCTGCACAAGTGTCTTAACTTTTTGTAAGACCATGGTGTTTTAGACTGTTCAGCAGAGGCGTTAACGTCTTCGCACTTTTTATACTTGGAATGATTCCTGTAATGACAGAGCCTGTTCTTTAAAAAGCCAGTCTTTTAGAGAGTGGGAACTTCTGTAGTTTGTACTTGTCTGATTTGTGGGAATACTGGGCAAACTAAATTTTGAAAATCTTGGAAAAGTAATAATGGAGTATAACCTTCTTTTCCCTGTGTAGTACATAATTTCTCTGAACTAGTTTTAGTTATAATTTAATAATATATTCTGTATATATTGGTGTTCACTGCAACAGGTATTCTGTATTGCCTCTTCAGTAATAATGATAAATTTGCATTTTTATAAATGCCCTTTTTCTGTCCCTAAGATTTCTGTAGCAATAATGTGGTTTGCCTAATGACCACTAGTTCTGTAATCTTGTACTTAGAGAGCCTCAGTGGTAAATGAAGCAAGACTGTCAGGTAAAATGCTGTTCACTGACTAAAACTGTTTGGTTTCAAACAAATCACTTTGTTTCAAAGGGAGTCATGCATGTTTGAGTCCTTCTGAGCAGCAGTTTATGGTTCTTCTTTGTCTCTGTTGAAGGACACTGGTCAAGAGAGAAGTGACCTTTGGGTATGAAAGACTCTGTGAGGGTGAGCAGTTAGGTGATGTTATTGAACACCTTGTGTATTCTTCATGCCCGTTTAAGCAACTTTTTTGTAAACAGTGATAGGTGTGTGAAAATTTTAATTCAGGGAAGCCTTGGTCATGAGAATAGAAAAAACAGTAAAAATCTGATTTTTTTTAAAGAGTTCTCTTATCGTAGATTTCCAAAATTAGCTGTATGAATGTCTGATTTTTACAAACCGTAGGATTTGAACTGCCTCAGGATGCTGATTATCGTAATGACTAAAGATATCTGTGAAAGTAATAGTTTTCACAGGAAGCATTCACTTTAAGATGTTGTACAGCAAGTTCACTTTTCTTGGCCATCCTATATAATATTTTCTACTATTTAAGAAACAATTCTGAATTGCATTTATGTTTCAGGGGAACACTATTTTGCTCTTGCAAGCTGGAGCTTTAGCATGGACATAAGGAGAAAAATTTTCATATGAAGAAAAAATTATACGGGGAAGTCTCATTTCCAGGAAAAGCAGTAATGTGTCAGCTATTAAATGGCATTTCAAAGCAGATTTATCTTCCAGACCTCACAAATACCATTGCACTTTTAAAATTGCAGGAGATAGGAGTATTTGTTATATTCTCTTAAAAATCTTGGTGGCCACTACTATTACAATACCTTTTCAGTTTCTTACTTGAAAAATCATCAGCCATATTAGTGTGTTTGTGTGCTACCACTGAAAGATATCATTATGGCCTGTATTAACATCTGTAGGATGCTCAAGTACAGTTGTGTTAAAATCTTGTTTTTACAAGACTTGCCACTTCAGAAAGTAAGCAGTGGTCATTAAATTTCTGAAGGTGAAGTTGTGAATGGGATTCTACCAGCTGTTTTTCAGTCATGCAGTTGTATCCCTACTGCAGTCCTGGTGCAACAGCAGTTGGCTTCAGCTCAAGGCCCTCATCTTGTAATGGAGGAGATGGTTACTGTATGAGAACAAGTAGTTTCAAAGTCCTGTGTAAAGCTGGTATTTGAATTATTTGTAATAGGTAGATAAGTGGTAAAAGGAAGAAAAGACGGAAACCCATGCCCTTTTACTACAGGTAAGGAGGAATAACCTTGGGCAAGGTCAAAATAAGGAGACTGGAGTGGTGTCTCTGCATAATACAATCAACCTTGTCTGTCTTTTTATTTCATGTTCTATAAATCATGTAATGATGAAAAGAAAAATGTTCTTTAGGTAGAAGTACTTTGAAAAATTTGTTGGGTTTTTTTCTTACTGTGAGGTAGCTGTTGGTGTTTTATAAGTACCCTTACTGTGTAGATAAGAGTATTGTAACTTTATCTTAATTACTTATTCTTAGTTTTTGTCCTTGTACTAATCAGTAAGTCAGGTATGTACTATAAAGGACTGAAAACCAAAGTCCAGGTTACACTTTTTTCAACCTTATACTCTTGCATTTTCAACCTGCCATTTCTTTCCTACCAAAATCTGTCAAGCTTCACATTAGTGTAACTGCTGAAACTATTCTTGTGGACTACTTAATGTGTTTTCTGCTATGTTTTATTTAAAGCTTTTATGTAAAGTGTGTTATGTTACTCAAACAAAGGTAGGAATGCCATGGTTGCTGGAGGGTCAGGAAGTGAACATAGTCCTCAAGACTTCTGAGACACCTCTCATCAAAGATCTTCCTCTGTGGCAGAAAGACAGACAGACTGCAGTTTATTAGACTGTGTTGTTGCTGCATGGCTGTACCATTTCAGTCTTGTTTTTGACCAGGAGTTTGCTTGCCAGCCTGTGTTTTGCAGAAAAACTGACTTACATAGTCAGCTTTGGTCCCTATGCTTCCCAGTATTATGGAGATTGACAAAAATGTCTATGATCAGCAGAGTGCAGACCTCTCTCTCTAGTGTCTTGAACTTGGTCTCAAGTTTCAAGCTGCAAAGCTGAAGCATGATAAGGACATGGATCTATGTGGAATCAGTGTTGAAAGCCTTATGGAATGGTTTCAATTCCACAGACTATTCTGTAACTGTAGACACTTTATTTAATCTGTGCAGCAGTTCCTCATCTCTTAACAGTGAGTAGTGTTTCTCTTAGTTTTGAGTCAACCCAGTCACCAACTGTGTGCTTATTACTTCAATACAGATCAAGTGGTAGGTTCCAGGGTTTGTTTACCACAGGTCCTCAAAATGCCCTGCAGTGTCAGCTTTGACATTGAGCATCTTCCTCAAACACATATCACTCTATTTCTCATACTGTAGATTTTTAAAGTTGTAGATTTCTGATGAAGATCTGAATCCTGTGTCCTCTAATGTGCAAGTAGAGGATGTAAGATATTGGTGGAAACCAGCACCTAATCTTCATTTATTGTTCTGAAATTAGTTGTTTTGAATTTAAACTGCTATTAGTGTAAAGTGAAGACTCAGAAGTTGGGGGAGACTGGATCTAGACAGAGCCTGAATTGAACCCTGTATTTGGGGATGGAGGGAAAATGTGTTCTAGTGTTGTAATATGGGGGTAGTTTAGGGTGTTGTACGTTTTTCTGGAATGTGTTAATTAACCTACAAGTAGAGTGTAAACACATCCAGGCAGAAAGGTAGAGTTGGCAAAAAGTTGTGCTGTGCGCATAGCTTGTTATTTTACTCATTGTATTGTCTAATGTGTTCCTGTGACTAGTGTTCTTGTTAGATTGCAGGAAGATTAATGCAGTGGATTTTTTAAAAAAATTCTTGTGACAGATTTTCTCTATTAGTATATTGCTTGTGATTAAATAGTAACCTTCAGGAATCTAGAAAAATGCCCACATGTGGCATAGGTGTGTCTATAGATGTATATACATTTTTTAATTGCTTAAAATGTAGAAAAATACCAGAAGGTTATTAGGAGATTTCCTTCACAAAGTCAAAATTAAGTTCAGAGATATCATTGGGGTTTTAGGTTTGGTTGTTTTTTTTTTCCAAGTGGCTTAAAACTTGCTAGGTTATTTTTATTTGTACACAGAAAGGTTTGCAGGTGTTTCTGTTTTTATCAAATACATCAGTAACTTTATGGGATTGAGCACTATAAATTTCCGCTGGAAATGGGTATATAGGGTGCAGCAAGGCATTCAGTGGCTAAGAGGAATTGTTCCTGATGGGTTCTGTTACAATCTGCAAGCTTTATTTGAGTAAGGAAATTAGTTTCTATTGGTACACTTTTAAGTAGTCTCTTGAATTGTAAGTATTTTAGCTCAGCTAGTGGACCTGCTGCCCTATATAAAAAACTGCCTCTTTTGCTTCTTTTTCCCTTCTCTTGTCTTAAGGCAATTTCTTTCCCTTACAGATAGGAAGCTCTAGGAGTAAATGAAGAGACATACTGGCATCTGATTAGGCTGTGCTTCTAGTAAATACATTATTCTAGAGGAATATTAATGTAAGTTCACCCTAAGAGAGTGAATTCTGAGAATAATGGCTTAGTGGAAAGGCTAGATGAAGGGACAGTGATTTCTCACTTACATTGGGTGGAAGTGGTAATAGGGCTTAGTGTGAGATGGTCAGAAGAAACATTTGATTTTTAAAATGGTTTGTTTTGTACTCAAAGAGTACATACTTAGCAATTTAGTAATGTAAGTATAGCATGTATTTTATGCATGCAGCTGGTAACACTTTTTTGTTAGGAGTGCACTTCTCTTAGCTAGGAAGCTGGTGGAATTGGTTTGAGTAATCTATGTGCAGAACTATGCATAATCCTTAATAAAGATTGAACATTCAAATACCTACTGATTGGCTCCTGATCCTGATATCAGTGAAACAGAACATAAACAAAAGTGAGATTTTACACTTTAAGATTCCTCAAGGGGTTGATGGCACCAAAGTGTAGAAGCAGTAGAAATTCCAAAGAGGGAGGAGGTGGAGACTCTTGAGCACCAAAGAAACTTGCTGGTATCTGATGCCCTTCAAAGGTGTTACTTCAAAGTATAAAGAAGTAGCACCTCCTTTTATTGATACATGGCACTTTTTTGTGAGACGTGGTAACATATTGAAAGTGTTTATAAATAGTTGAAGAACATTTTATTCTGTCTTTATTTCCCTCAATTGTGTTGAATTACAGATAATAATGTATATCCAAAACATTTCATCTGCCTACGTTTTTTAATAAAGGCAGTATATACACAATTTATGTTTTACTAAGGGAGAATGCATTAAAGGAAGAAAAGAGTGCACGCACTTTCCTTAGTGCTTTATTTAGGATGAAAGATTATACTGCTGGTAGGGAGGGGAAGGGTTGATGTAGAGTTGTATGTTAACAGCTCATTGCATAGCAAGTGTTGGTAGAAGGGATTTGGCTTATGTGACCATGGGACACTGTTGAGGTGCAAGGATTGGTAAGACAGAGTAGTATCCACCAGATCAAGTGGGACAAGAGCATCTTTGCCAATAGTCTGGCCAAACTGGTATTTAGACTAGGATTTAGAGAGGAAAGAGTTGATGACTCTTAAATCAAGAGGAAAAGGTGGTGAACTGAGCTGGTAAAGTAAGGATGATGATGATGTGGAGAGGAGTCCTTGAAAATGACTAATTAGAGAAGATAGAAATCCACAGATTTAGGTAAACAAAGAGGAAATGTCTGTACATACATAATGGGGTCAGCATTATGAGGGGGAGGATCTTAGACCTCTTCAGGGAGATTAGCTGTGGTCACCTGAGAATGCCTTTTCCCTTTGATGAAGTTTGTAAGTTATTGTAGCAAGTTTCAGAGAACTTTTTTTTAAACAGCTTTAGTATTTTGCCGGCTCACTCCCCCAATTCCTCCGCAGTGTTATCATGCCTGTTATACAGACTGTTATTAAGTTTGGTTTTTTTTAAAGATACTTCAACACTTTTCTGAAGCACATACTGACTTGTTATTAACTTACTTCTCTACAGGGTGTGATAGGTGTACAGTTGGTGGTTACCATGGTAATGGCTAGTGTCATACAGAAGATCATACCTCACTATTCTCTTGCTCGTTGGCTTCTCTGTAGTGGCAGGTAAGATAAGTGTGAATATGGTAATTATGCATCAGGGTAGTAAAAGTAATACATACTGATCTTGTTTGGGTTTTTTTTAAGTAATTGACTTTTATTAAATTTATTACCATAGCATTGTCACACGTGATTTGTGGGCTCAAGGCAAAATGACAGTGTTGCTGTAAAAGAACATTACTTGTTTGTTGCTATTAATTGTATCAGTCACAAAGTTAATTGTTGTTCAGCTCTTATATTAAAGGTACAATGTTCATCCTTTAATATTAAAAAGCTAAATTCAATACAATATACTGAAGAATAAAAGGGTTTTCTTTTCCTCTGCACTGTCTCTGTGTTGTTGATAATCTACCTCCTGATTAGCCTTGCGTATGAAGAGTGCTTAGGTATTTATTAAAAATTCTATTCCTTTTTAATATGTCAAAGGACAGGATTAATATAAATTTCAGTACAGTACTTTCTTGTAGCAATAGATCAAACAGACATAATGAGTTGCAAGGGGAGCATTCTCTATATCGCTGTATCCATAATAACAATTTAAAACAGCAGCTGTTTTGAATATGAACCACTATGTTAAATATTAAAAGGAATCATAGATACTGCGTCTTTTCATTTGGTAAGAGGAACACTTTGTATGATTAGCAGGTAGAGTGCTGTCTTTTGTAACTGTTAAAATTTTGAGAATATCAGATCCTTACTGCCTACTTTCTGAAGGAGTATCCTTGAATAATAATGTACTCCATAGGAGTATTAACAAGTCTTTGCATTGTCTTTTTTCTCTGCATCTCATAATTATCAACTTGTTCCTTTTTAATATTCCAGGTTTCATCGCCCATCAAATTGCTAATGAAAAGTGACTGTAAATGTTGTTTAGATGTATGTTAGATATAACAGAAAACAGTAGTTGTCAGGTGGATGACACAAACAGGAATCATACTCTCAATTGTTGTGTGAAGTTTCACTGTTAACCATATTGGCAGGATATTGATCACCTTTCTTGTGCTCTAAAAAGAGCATGACACTAATCAATATGAAACTGGCTACCATTTATTTTTAAAGTGTGTCACTGTGAGAGTCTTTTTTTTATCAGCAGTTATCCAAATTGTATATTATACCTTTTATGTCTAAGATTGATGTAAACTTTTATTTGAAAATTTAAATATCTAATTGCTCTTGCAAAATAATTTATCAGTATTATGCCCGTGTTCTTAATTTTTGTGAAGTTTTCACTTACTGTATCCTTGTTTTAAGGCATGCCACATGCCAGCAATAGGAAGAAGTTTGCTGTTCAAATATTTTCCAAATCCATTTCTCCACTTATTTTCGTGCATCTGCAGATTGATAAATACTTCAAGCAGGATTTCAGCACTTGTGCTTGGGTAATTCTGCTCTTACTGAAGTTAGTGGGAATTTTATTATTGCCTTCCATGTTAGTAGCTGGCTGTTGCTTTTCAGTTTCTTTTATGTATCTGATAGCACTATTTTAGTATATTGTCATTTCAGGCACTCTGAATAATTCCCTGAATACAGGAATTGTATGAAGAATCAGAAGTAAGCCTGTGGTCTAGAAAAAAGAATAAGTCAGAAGATTGGCTGCAACAAGAATCTGAATTTTAATGGTAGAAAGAAAAGCAGTTATTTTCTTAGTTAACCTGATAACTAAGGTTATCTTTTATCTTTAACCCATTTCTCCATAGTCTTTTTGCCAGTGATATTTGACAGACCTGTGTGGGTGGGCTGGGTTTTATAGAGGATTTTACACACGTAAGTGTGCAGGTACGGGCACACTCCTAAAGCAATCCATCTGTCTAAGGAAAAATTATCACCTGCTCCTCCTTACCTTTGTTAGTAAACTTCAACTAATCTTTGGTATCTAACAGTGGTTTTTAAGTGACTTTGTTTGAGTGTCCTGCTTGCAAAGGATTAGCAGGCAAGACGGATCTGAAATGTCTGTGGATAGTCCTTTCTGAATGGGAGGGAGGATAAGCATGTTATCAGACAAGACAGAAACATTAAGTGACTAGTTTGTTTAAAGACGGCTGTTTGTGTTCATGGGAAGTTTGTTAAAAGGAAACAAAGACTTCTCAAAATCTAAAAGAACTGTTAGGATAGACAGATTTAAGGTAGTTACTTATTAATGGAATAAATAGCTATCACTGACTCTTGAAGAGCAATTTACATAAATTTGTTAAGAAATATGAACTTTTTCAATCAGTGCTATTTTCAGAACTTGAATGCAATTAAATAGATTTATTGAAACATTTGCCAGCCTAAATATCTGTGTAGGCCTTGCATCATTTTTAACTAATAAAACATTCTCTACCAAAACACTGCTTTTTAAGTCACTCAGCTATTTTAGCTATTGTGTTTTCAGGGCATGTTAGGATACAGGGGGAAATGGATGTTTTGTTGTAGATTCGTTAATGACCTTTTTTCAAATTAACTAGGGCATGTCTGTGTGTCTGTTGCTATTCAGACTGACTTGGATATGTCAAAACCAGTTATGATCAGTTGTGGGATTTCAGTTTTAAGCATATGTAAGCTAAAACAGATATAAACTACCTTTTATTATCTCTGTCTTTATGAAAATGTTTGTCCAAGTCTTTTGGTTTTTAGATTTTAAATGCAAGATGTGTAGGGTTTATCAACTGAAAAATACCAAAACTCTTTATCCTATTAGTTCTAATTAGCTATCACTTGCAATGTCATTTTGTAGTAAAATTAGGGGCAAATTGTGGTATAATTTGTGGTTTGATTTGTGTTAGCATGCTACACAGAACAAGAATTTTGTCTGTTCTGCTGCATTAGGTACCATTTCTCTGTCTGTGCAGGAAAGATTTTGAAAAGTTTTTTACCACATAGGTGGCTTTCATCATTAGCATCCCAAGTACAGATCAAGGTGATGTGGTAAATGACAAAGCAGAAGAATATATCTGCTTTTTCACAGTTGCTTTGGGTCATGTGAAGGACAGAAGTTACCATCTCCAGAGTAGTTTGACTTGGATGCAAAGCTTGTTTCTCTGATTTATTTGTGTCTCAGTCTTAAAGTCTCTTTTGCAGCAAAGTTTGCAAATCACAGATGCCTCAACTGTACTATACATAATAAAAATAAATTAATGAAGTAACTTTCACTCTTACTTATACAAAATTGAGTTCATTTTTTTCCCCATCCAAAACTGTTCGTGCAAACTTTGTAATATTTGCCATTTTCAGTTTTGGAACTGGCAGTGAATTCTTTCAACAGAAATTTGCAGTGTGCAATGGTTTGATGGTTTGTTGGCTGGTATTAGCGTTCTTTTCTCTTGAAGAGTTCCCAAGATGAAGGAAGCCTTTCTAAAATGGAGCCGGGAATCAAGTGTTATTAAATGGCTTGAGATTGTTTGAGTTTTGATGCCTTCCAAATTTGGCTTTGCTAACTTTTTGAAATTGCATCTGACATCATCTCTAATTCACCAGTATGGATTTGAATGGTCCTACTTGGTGAAGTTTTCTTTATGCAAGGTGGTGGTTGAGGGTTCCTTTATTACGTATTGACCTGTGTCACTATGTGTGACAATTAGTGGCCTTCTACTTCCACACACATTTCTCATGTCTGTCCTTGTTAATACTTAGTCTCCTTTACTGCAGCATTTCAGAGTGGAGATCATAGTGATACGCGGAGATCGTAGTGACTTCCCGCATCAGGACAGAATGTGGAAAAGGCTTGTTTCAGCTACTAAGATTTTTGCCATACTTAGAAATTTAGGTAAAATATACCATCTTAGACACTTAACCGTCTCTGTTTGTCCTCTTCAAAATTTCCATGCCATTTGTTGCCTTTTAAATGAATGAGCAATTAATGGTGCATTGATCTATGAAAATGAAAAGACTTGTAGGTCAATTATGTGTAAATTAGTGATTTTTTAATAGTGCTTTTTCTAGTAGAAGTTGAAGATATCACTGAGAAATGTTTAAGGAAAGGGATTATGATGTGCTCTGCTTAAGAAAAAACATTTGATTATGTTTGGTAATGATTATTAGGTAATTGATATTTCAGATTCTGGGAAATTACTGGATTTGGCGGGGATATTATATGCTTTATTAAGTTGTTTAGAATATGGTTCTAATGAGTAATTGTAGTGGTATAATTTTTCTAGTGAACTTTCCCACCTTGTATGACTGTGTTTGCTGTATTTGATGATATCTTTAAAAGTTGGTGTTCAGAGACCCTAAGAGCTTTCATGTGAATGACAAAGTGGCAAAGCTTTCTAGTTATGTATAAATACCTCATTTGCTGTGGAGAATTGAACTCTAGCTGTTGTTCAGTTCAGGCAGGGTTGGCCCTGATACACAAAGGTGTCTTGCTTAGGAGTGACAAATTACAGGTGTCTTAGTAAGTATATAAATCTGTGTTATACAGTTTTTTGAAAGCCATGCTCTAAATTGCTAATAATGGTATTGTTTTACTTGAGGTTTTCTTTTTCTTTAGCTTACGGTGGTATCAACATCCCACTGAAGAAGAGCTGCGGATTCTTGCAGGGAAGCAAAGAGGGAAAAGTAAAAAAGATAGGTAAATACTTTTCTTAAGCTTGTTTTCCCCCATCTTTTGGGTTTTTTTCAGCATTATATGGTTCATCTAGTAACTTTACCAGCCTACCTTTTGTCTTAGCATGAGTTAAAAACTGCTAGTTGCATATGATGCCCTGCTTGCATTAATTGTCACAGTTCTTTATCAAAACATGTTTTATCAGTTTAACAGAGTTGGAAATTCCCAAATAGTGCATAACTGGTTAATTTCTGCCCACAAAACGGTCTGTGAAATGCAAATTCAATGGCAAGTTTTTTTTAGTGAGTGTATGCATGTAGATAAAAACTGTGGAAACAAATCTTAGGATTGTAGCTTTTCATCTTGAAGTGAGAGAAGAAAGATTTGAGTATATTAGTTTAACATAGGATTACTGTAAGCCACTGCTCTTAACAAAGCTGTGAAAAAGGCAAATGGGCTGTTAGGATATATTACATTAAATGTTTCTAGTGAAGAGAGAGGGAAATATTAATCCTCTTGGACAAGACACCAACGTAGAACTTTATCTGGATTACTGTGTACAGTTCTGATCACTTGTGTTCAAGAAAAATAAAATTTGTATGTGAACAGGAAAAGAGAGCTGCTGGGATCATCCAGGAAACAAAAGTCTGTCTTACTCAAGGGGGCTAAAAGAGCTAGGCTTTGTGAATCTATCAAAAGACAGCTGAGTGGATGGAATAGCTGTCTTACCAGCTTAAGGTGGAAATAGATTTCTGGTATTCAGACATGAAGTTCCAAACAGCTGCATCAAGAACTGAGACATCTTGAGGTGGTGGAACTGCCCATGTTGATGAAATATGTCTAAATTGGCTTTGTTTATAACCAGACAATCCACTGTGATTTTCTTTTTGGCAACACAGGAGGTTTTTTCTAGTTCTGTTTCTTCTATCCCAGAATGAACTCCCTTATAAATCTTAAGTTTTGAATTAATCTGTGCACTGCTCATATAATGTTAATTGTAATTTAATTTTTCTTCCTGTTTCCTAGCTCTTAAGCAGCATGGTTAGCAATTGTATTTGCCTCTTTTAGGTTGGAAAAGAGATCAACCTTTGATCACATGTTAATTGCAGCCCTGAGGGCTACATCAATCATTTGTTGAAAACCTCTAGGAATGACGACTCCACCAAATACTCCCCAAGAAGGGCAGCCCAATCCAATTCCACGACAAAAAAATTCCTCTTCAGGTCCATCCTGAACCTCCCCTGGCACAGCTTGAAGCTAGGTCCTCTTATCCTGTTACTAGTTAACCCTGAGAAGAGACCATCCCACACCGACCTATTGCCTTCCCTCAGGCAGTTGTAGAGAACAAAAAGGCTCCCTGTAAGCCTCCTTTTCTCCAGGCTGATAGCCCCTAGCTCCTTCAGCTTCCCTTCATCTAATTTATACTCCTGACCATTCCCCAGTTCCGTGTCCCTGGACTTGCTTGAGCACCTCAATGTCTTTCTGGTTGTGAAGGGCCCAAAACTGAACACAGGATTCTAGGTATGACCTCAGCAGTGCTGACTACAGAATACAGTCACTGCCCTGGTCCTGCTGCCCACATTATGTCTGACACAGGCCAGGATGTGCTTGGTCTTCTTGGCCCTCTAGGCCCATGCTGGCTAATGTTCAGTCACTGTTAACCAGCAGCCCCAGATCCTCTTCCACTGGGCAGTTATCAGTGACTCTGCCCCATCCTGTAGCACTGCATAGGGTTTTTTGTGACTCAGGTACAGGACCCAGTACTTGACTTGTTGAACCTCATGCTATTGTTGTCAGCCCAATCCAGCTGTCCAGATCGCTCCCAAGAGCCTTCCTGCCCTTCAGGAGATCAACATTCCCATCCAACTTAGTGTTTGGAAATTTACTGAGGGTGCCCTCCATCCCCTTGTCCAGATGATCTATAAAGATCTTGAACAGGATGGGGCCCAGTACTGAGCCTTATGGAACACTATGAGTGACCAGCTGCCAACTTGGTGCAGCATCATTCACTGCCATTCTCTGGGTTAAGTTGTTCCTTGTAAAGTAGTAATTTTTTTTTTACAACATTCCTTAAAATTAAGAATGTCTTTTTATCTTAACAGTTTTCTGTGACAAAAATGAAGCAAAATAATAGTGAATAAGAACATAATTTATAATTATCCATATAACCAGTGGTATTTATTCATATATGAAATAACTTAATTTATGTAATTTTAAGTTTAAATCCACCCGTAGGAGCCTTAAACTGAAAAACGCAATTGTACTTCTACATAATAATTGTGCCTTTGCTCTTATTGCCTTTCCTCAGCCTTGCCAGTCTTTTGCAGTAGTAGTAGTAGTAGGTGTTTGTATCATGGTGAAAGTTAATCAAAGGGGAATATAAAACTTCAAAGAAACTGAAGCAGTAATGTGAAGGCTTAAATGATGTTTTGTTTGCTTTACTTGTTTAACTGCTGAATGAATAATAATTTATTTTTTAATGAATGAGTGTACCTCTGTGTCCTTGAAAGAAGTGACTATGGTTTGTGAAGAACCATGGTTAAGTGGGTATTGTTCCTGTCGAGTTGGTTTGGATTTACTGATCTAGGTTGCACGAAATGGAATGTACATGTTCTGAGTCATCCCAGCAAGGAGATGTGAAACAGATAGTGTTAGAGAAATAAAGATGCATCTGTTTTATACTCCCCATGATAAAAAATACTTTGCAGAATAAAGAATCTGCCTTGTCAGGACCATAGTCTTGGAAATACCAACTCCTTAAACATTCTCTCAGTCTGAACTAAGTTAAAGAGAAATGGTTAAAGGAGGTACAAGGAGCTTGCTTGAAAATTTGCCTCAGAAACAGCTGTAGTGTGAAATTTTAGTTAATTTTATTCAGCACATATTACCCTTCAGTGTATTATACTATAGGCTTTGGGAACACAAGAATATTAGGCGGGCTTTCTGCTTCTGAATTGTCTTTATTATACAAAATTGTTCAGCTTATGAAAAGGTCCATAGCTACTGTGAATTACTTTGAAGTAAAGCATTCAATGGTCCTAGGTAGATTCTGTTGGTGCCTCTTGGATTGTGGGGCTCTGGGATAATTAAAGTGTGGGAACACCAAGTTTTATTGATCTGAAATGACTTCAGTGGTAAAAATGCTCATCTCACTCAAGATGACAGTACTCCTGGATACAGGTAGTAGGAAAAAAATCAGGAGTACAGCTGCAGGCATGGAAGTACACAGGAGCTTGCAGGCGGTCTAGTCCTTGGGCAGTGTTTGGGACTTCTTTTGTAGATTTGCATAACTAGTTGAATTTTTTTGGGTAATACTTTAGATTCCTATCTATAGGTTGTCCATTAATATAACCTGAAAATTTTTATTAATGTTTTCTGCTTGTATTTTCCTCTCACATATGTGCTGAGATGAAAGCATTCCTGAAAACTAAGTTCATGATTGATTTGATTTCTTTTTAATGCTTATATTGCAGGAATTTGTTTTTCTATGGAAAACCCACCTCTCTTTTTCTAATTTCAGAGGTGATATTATAAAATGTGGCAGTTTATTGTTTTCTTCTAGCCTTTTAGAGGTCTTAAGTTTTAGGTATGATTTTTTAATGTAGGAAAACATCTTCTGATCTCCTTTAATGATTTTTTATTTTAAGTAGTGTGAGGAGGAAGTTTTACATTAGTTACTAATGCTGGTCTACCAGATTAAATTCTTTAACTTTGTTAATCTTCTTTTAAGAATGTGCTGGGTTTTTAATTTAAAGTCGTCTAGTATGACTTAATTTCAGGGAAGTGAAAATCATGATATTGGTATAGTTTGAGAGCTTCAGATGAAAAGCACCTTTTGGTCTAAATACACATCCTTTTCAATTAGAAAGATACCTCAAATTGCTTCACTTGATGGCTAGTAGGTTGGACGTTTCAAAGATCTAGGTTAATTCAGCTCATGTGATGTACCTGCTTGTTGTGACAAGAAGGGCTGATGCAAGTGGGTTTTTTTTTTCTTTTTTTTGACTTGGTAACACCCTGTAGCTCTGAATAGATAAAATCAGTGGGCTGAAATAAACTGTCTCCTGGACCTTGATCCAATACATGCTCAGATTGAAGCAGCTGGAAGCCATTTAAATCCATACCACAGTAGTATATCAGAGTCTGTCAAGTTATAGATGGGAGCCATTGACATATCTGGTTGTTTTCCAAGATTTTAACTTGAAGTTCTACTTTTAGTTAAAATGATAAAAATACTTCTATTTGGAAAAAAAAATTCTGCATTTTCCTAAAATTTGAAATGTCATTCTATATTGAAAAAAATTATTTTGTCATACCCATGCTTGTACTATCTATTTATTTATTTCTTTTACAGAAAATATAATGGTCATATTGAAAACAAACCCTTAACCATTCCAAAAGATATTGATCTTCATCTGGAAACAAAATCTGTAACAGAAAGGGACACTATTGGTAAGAGTATGCAACAATAATACATTATTTCGAATATATCCTGATTCTTTCTATCAAGTGTGTATTTGTAATTAATGCTGAAATGTCTTTTTTGTAGAATGTGGATGAATAGAATGCAAAACTGGTCATAAATGAGAAAGCAGGTAGTAGGGCTGAGTCTCCTTTATTGTTCTATGAGTGACAGTCAATAGCAGTGTTGTGGAAAAGGATGAGTAGATGACAGCCAATGTAAAGCATAACTTTATCAGTTATAGCAATATTAGACAGCACTGAAACAATCAGATGATTGTCTATTCAAAATAGAGTTTTTAACTTTGTGCAAGAAAATAACAATGGGTAGATGTCAAGTCATACTTTCTGCTCATCTAACATAAGGTATGTGCTGTAGTATTGGAACCTAAGCCCTTTCAGCCGTACATCTCAAACATTCAGGTAAAATGTTTAAAAATAACAAGCGACAGTACAGAAATATGCAGCATTAAGTGTTTTGAAGGAAGTGGAAAGTATGACTATTATTTTTTAGATGGGTGATTTTTGATTATTAAATAATAATCTGTCATTCTGTACAGAAAGGTCATATATGAGTATGTATGTGATACATATTTTCTTTCTACATTTTTATATTTATGTATACTCTGGACAAATATAGAAAGAAAGGATGTATATTCTCAGTTTAAATTGTAAGTGACAGCATATGTGTAACATAAATTAAGTTTTTGAAGTAAATAAACAAAACATTCACAAGTTTCAGTTAGTGTTACTTACCTGAAATTATGTCATGTAATTGTCAACCTGAATGATACAAGGTAGGGTTTGACTCTGTTTGAAAAATAATATATACAATTGGTTTGTAAATCTAACCAGATTGTTATTTCAAAATAACAAGTGTAGGACTTGGAAATACTTAAGTTTGCCTAGTTTCATATCTTTGCCAACAGGTAGCTTGTAGTCAAGTCAAACATTCAGTAGTGTTTTCTCACTTTTGAATGTAGGGAAGGTGTTTGGGGGAGACAATTTGTGTGGTCACAAATGGTTCTTTGGAGTTTCCAGCTATGGAACTATGGGAACTCTCTCCATAACATCTAGCCTATATGCAACATAGTATGATTCCCAGAATTTTTACAATGAAGTTTACACAACGATTATTGCTTTATAGGATGTATTAACAAAATCTTGATGAGCAATCCATCAGGTATCTTAGATGGGGGGGTTTGTAAAATAAAAAGAACTGTTTATTTGTAATATAATAAATTATAGCCAGTGAGATTTCAATCTTTAACAAAGGGTCAAAACAAACCCTCTTACCTGGAATTGCAGCCAGACTCAATTGGAAAACTGTTTACTCTCTGTGTTGTGAAATCTAAATTAAGTATGCTTTTTGGATTGAGGATGTTAATGTATAAAAACTGAGGTGATAAAATAGTAAAACCTCTGAAGCCTTATAAATTTGAGTAGTTATTAAGTATTGGATGACAGAAGTAAAGAATGATGTTCACATTGTTAAGTAACTTTTTCATTGTTACATTTCACTTGGTTGATCTTGGTCTACCTAAATTTGACTTCAATACACTTAATGCACAGTTGAAAACCTCTTTTAATTGCTGCTCCATTCTATGTATATCAGTAACTGCCTTAAAACATACCTTTAACATTCACAAACATATATTTTTCAGCATTGCATTACTTTCCAGAATATCAGTGGTTGGTGGATTTCACTGTTGCAGCTACAGTTGTGTATGTGGTGACAGAGGTCTACTACAGCATTATGAAGCCCTCACAAGAAATGAATATCAGCATAGTGTGGTGTCTGCTTGTCTTGGGTTTTGCAGTGTATCCTTTTCTGTTGTGTTGAATCCCCCTCTACCTGTTCCGAATAGTTTACATAATTCTGCAATTCATATAAATCTCCATGCCACTGATGGGCGGGATGACACAAAAATATTTGGCATTTGGAAAAAGGGTCCTGTAATGCTATTGTTAAATAATACATACGCTGTACGTGCTCTTTGCAAATGCTGGTATCATTACCTTGCTAACATTAATACCAGACCATTTAGGAGAAAAATGCATGTATGCAAAGATAGTTAGTGCTCATCTGTAGTATGTAGTGGTTCTAAACTAACTTGATTTTGTTCAATTTGGCAATCAGAAATGGTTATGTGTACATAAAGTACAGCTTTTGGAGAAGTTTGGAAATTTAGTGTGCGTCTTTTTTTCAATATGTTTAATCTGATACTTCTTGATCAGAATAGCACAGTGATGTGTATACTAGTTTACTGCAAAAATACATGTGTGAATTCATAATTTTAAAATACATTCAAGGTATTCTTACAGAAAATAAGGTATGTAAACAGTTGTAGAAACTGAGCTCTGTGAAAAGCTAAACTCACCTCTGAAACTGAGGGAAACAGAAGTGGAGTATTTAGGAAACAGGCATTATCAAACCATAAAATGTTTGTTTTGTTATGGAGGAGGCAGTTAATTTTTAAAATTTATTTTACTGGAGAAGGCATTATCACACATAGATGCTTGCATGGTGATTAACTGTACCATGTACGAATCCAGACTCCTGCTTTAGGGAGGAAAGTTACAGTTTAAAGATACGATTGGAGACAGAGCAGTAGAATGGAATAAGGGCTTTTAAGAGAGCATGTTAAAGAAAGGTGAACTGGGAAGTGAATTGCTACAGCTCCTCTGCTCCTTCAGCAGCTGAGAACAGAAAAATGCCAAGTTACAGTTGATAAACGTCTTGAATATTCAAAATTGTTCCCTCTATATAAATGGCAGCTTTAAAGATTCGTAATGTATTGTGGTTTGGTCAGTTGTTTTGTAATATCAGCAGTAGCTGCTGGTGTTATATAAAACCTTGAACTCTAATGTTTGGTTACATTTGGCTAAGAGTTCTGAATATGCTTCATGCTTGCCTGTCCTTGATGATTATTAAAATGTGTGGTGCCTTTATAGCATGGACAGGGGTTCTTTTCTAAGTATACTGGAGCATAAATCATAGAATTTCTCCAGAATTTTTTTCTTGTAATGTATAGAAACTTGCTAGAAGAGAAGGTCAACTCACATTTGGGAAAAAGAATGTCTGTTAGCATACTTCCAGATCAGGTATTTGCCCTTAGACATGTCGGTGAATAGATCCATGGTCCAAAAGGTGGTTTTTCTAGTCTACTGTGGGAAGAAAATCAGTGTCTGGCTCTTGGACACCTTTTAATTGTATCATAGCTATAGTATAGGTAATGTGTATTGTTGCTGGACATCCTTAATTTTTTTGGTGTGAGGTTGAGAATTTTACTTTAGTTTCTGCAGAAGGAAGGAGATAGAGATGGCTACTGTTTCAAAATCAGAAGATAGCCAACACCTTTCACTCTGATTTTTAAGGATGAGGGCGAGTTTAATAAAACTAATGGAAAAAAAAAGCTTCTAATACAAAAGCCACAATGTACTCTTAGATTTATCGGTGACAATGCCTTGTTTGCTTCATCTCTTTTATCTCAGGAGTAATCAATTTAAACAACCCTATAGTAATTCCAATTCTAGGTGAAACAGGGTTGTGAATTGTATATTGTAGGAAGACGTACAATACACAGGGTATTGGTAATAATTCCTGTGGTCAGTGGAACCTAGTTAGATGAGGTTTCAGAAGGGGTTCATTCCTGTATTGTGACATCAGGCTTTTGGGATGCAGAGAATACTTAAAAATTACTCAACTACTCACTAACTCAATATGTCAAGACCAGAAATTATTCTATGATAATGGAAGATTCAGAAAAATTTTGTTGCCTACATATTTTTGACAGAAAGCAGTCAACATGATATGTCAAAGTTAAATATAGAGCAATTTTGTGTTTTGTTGACAAGTGTTTCTTCTGTTTCATGCCAGTGTGTTAAAAGGTGAAAAGTTGTACTGAGGATACAGAGCAAGTTTGCAGATGATAGAAAACTGGGAGGAGCTGTTGATTCCCTTGAAGGCAGGGTGGCCCTGCAGAGTAACCTCAACAAAATCAAACCCAAAGAGATATGGGCAATCACCAACCATTCTAAGTTCAACAAGGGAAGGTGCTAGATTCTGCACCTGGGATGGGGCAACCCTGGTTGTATGGGCAGACCAGGGAATAGGAAAGTAGTGCCATAGAAAAGCACTGGTGCTGCTGGTTGGCAGAAAGTTGAGTGTGAGACATCAGTGCCCTGGCAACCAGGAGGGCAAACTGGCCCAGCTTGGCCAGTTTGTCCTGTGCTAAGCTTGGCCAGTTTGTCCTGTGCTAAGAAAGACATTCAGCTTTAAAGTGTCTAAATAAGCCACGAGGAGAATGAGGGAGGGGAAGCTGTATGAGGAGTGTCTGAGGTCACTTGGCCTGTTCAGCCTACAGCTTTCTTGTGAGGGAAGAGAAGGGGCAGACCCTGATCTCTTCTCTGTGGTGCCCAGTGACAGGATTCAAGTAAACGACCTGAAGTTAAGTTAGGCCAGGGAAGGCCTGAAGTTAAGTCAGGGAAGTTTAGATTGAATGTTAAGAAAAAGTTTTCACATGGAGGATGATGGATCACTGGAACTGGCTCCCTGGGGAGGTGATTGCAGCACCAAGCCTGACAGTTCAAGAAGCATTTGAACAGCGGTGTCGGGTGCATGGTGTGATTCTTGGGGATGGTGCTGTGTAGGCCCAGGAGCTGGAAGATCCTATGGGTCCCGTCCAACTCAGAATGTTCTCTGCTTCTGTGAATTCGGAGTTTTCATGTGTTTTAGTAGGAACAGAAGATGGATCTCTTTCATCTCAACATATGAACTATAAAATTAAAGAATTCCATAATCGCAGCAGTTTAAAAAATATCATTATTTTTGTAAAAGGGTATGCCATGATTTCTGCAATGTCTGCAACTAAATACAAAATGCAAAGTATACAATTCTATAATGCCTCTTGTGGCAAAAAAAAAAAAAAACTAAATGAAGGGCGGAACTGGTGCAGGCATTCTATTAACTTATCACTAAATACTCCTAAATTATTCATTCAGTACATCCTGAATATTAGGTCTTGCAATGGAAGGAAGCGATGAAGCAAGCCATAATGCTTCAATCTTCTCCAACCCAAAAATAGGAGCAGTAGTCATGTGTAGTTTGCATAATCATGGATCTGCACTATAATTTTAGAATGCTTTGTTTTTCCTCCTTGAATTTTCCAAATCCCTCAGGCACAATCCATATTTGAAGTCATAAAGTATCTGGGGGGCATAAATCTGATGATAGATTAGGTTTGTTGATCACAAACTTATTAAGTCCTTTGTATAGTTTCAGGGTGTTTTCAATTTGTGATTAATGCCGCTAGCTATAAAAAGAGCCTTGGTTTAAGCATGTGTTATTATAGAAACAACATCCAGAACACAGTCTGTATGATCTGTTATGTACCTCTTTTTGGGATGAGTTAAGTCTTCCTTTTAATGTATCAGTTCTTTCTGTAAAGTATAGAGGGGTCTGAAGGTGGTTACTGTATGAGATTAGAATTACTGGATGCTAATATCCACATAGTGCATATTAGAATCTTTCTGTGTATACATGAAATTCAGCAGTGTGTATATTAAATGCATGCTGCCTGTTGAAGCATAATCATTGTTTCTTGAGAGACTGATGACTGTTCAAATGTTTTACTGAATAGATACCCCCAAAAATGTTTTCCTGTACTCTTCATATTAATATTATTTCAGTATTAGAAATAGGCAAATTCAACTGCATTATTGTATAGTGGAGGAAAAAAGATTACGCAGATTATACTTACAATCATTTTTTTTTTTCCTTTTTGTCTGTATTTTTTTTACAAATCACCTAATGCCTGGAATTATCTCCAAATACTTTATTTAAATCTGGGCTGGATATTGCGTACCATTTAAATTATAATGAGCTGCAGTTCGTAGTAATAAGAGTGTATAATGAAAAGTTTATTCTAATCTGTTACACTTGAGAACTGATTTAGAAATGTGTAAAAAAGAATACTTTAAAAATATTTTTAAAACACCCTGATAACAGAGCAGGTGATGTCTTAAATGTTTGTCTTCATGACAGTAGGGCTAGATAAAAGGATGCTTGAGGAAATGGCTTAGTGGTGAACTTGCTGGTGTTAGGATGATGATTTGATTTGATCCTAAAAGTATTTTCCAAACAAAAGGATTTATCTGAAAGGGGAGAAATATAAGTTCATCTTTTCATGTGTATTCTTTCTTACTCTAAGTAAGCCTAAATCAAAACGCTACGCCAGAGTATTCCTGGCTATGCGTTTTGAGATTATTATGCTTTAATGTGTTCTGTAATTTAACCTGAAATTGACTGAACACATAATACCTTCCAAAGAAATAAATACCCATCATAGCACAAACCTGTAGATGAACAGAATAAAATATTATAATTCTTATTTATAAGATTCTTTGTTATTTTACAAACTTGATTTTCCTTGACCTTTTCATTACATAGCAAGGTACTGTTTTCATTGACTACGCACTATTTCAAAGTTGAAGATGGAGGTGAAAGATCAGTCTGTGTCACCTTTGGTTTTTTCTTCTTTGTAAAAGCCATGGCAATACTCATAGTGACAGAAAACTATCTAGAGTTTGGATTGGAATCAGGTAACTCCTTTCTTTAGTGTTTGAAACAGCTGTAGTGTTTGCATGATCTGAATAAATTATTTCCAGAGTTTTTGAGAAAAGCTGTGTTAAAATGAATGCTGTAAGTTAAATGCTTCTAAGGAAATTTGCTCCGGAATGAAGATTCTAGATAATATCCTGTACCTTTTCCTACTGTTCTCTTAAGTAGTCTATTTTTTGCCTAGGTTGTTTGTTTTGTTAATTGTATTTGCCTTCCAGTTACAGATTTAGCCCCCTTTGACTTCCATAGTAAAGTGTAGCTCCCTTACTGAAAAAGAATTTTAAAAGTTATCTTTTTTCATCTTCCCGAAGCGTTCAAATATTACAGATGTTTGTTAATCAAGCTTTACTTTATTGTGCCAACTAATTAGCACATGAAAGAGCTCTGTTACACATATGAAAAATTGTTTAAAAAATGACTTGCTACCCAACGTTTTATTTCACAAAAAGGATTCTTTGTTTGTACTGTAATGAAAGAAATATATATGTCCCTGCAGGATTCTCGAATTTCTCAGAGAGTGCTATGCAGTTTCTCGAAAAACAAGGTTTGGAATCCCAGTAAGTTTCTGAAAATACACTTGTCTGTTTATATGTGAATTTTTAACTTGTCTGTCTATATGTGAATTTATGAACCATTTGGATTTTGTTTGCAGGATTTTGTCTTGCATGTTTTGCTTTTGTACATGGTTATAATCCCTACAACACTTTAAAGAGATCAGTGGAAAGATCTGATAAGTACCCACAAGTAACTGAAGTTGCATTAAAGTTTTCATTTTAATATGGAGATAATTACTGACATTTTGATTGTAGTTCATAAAATATAGTTCAAAACTGTAAACACTTTTTTCACAGTATTTCCCTTCAAAAAGGATTGTTTAAATAGAGAAGTATTTTTTGTCATTCCTATGGCATGTAAGAGGAGGAGTGTGCAAAAGCTACCAGATGGAGTTTGTGTTAAATTTCGTATTAGGAATAAATTGTGTTATTCATGTTTTCAGGTTATAGCTGTGTTCCTGTCATGCAAAAACATCTGCTTGCTACAGGGCATCCAAGCCTCATATAGACTGTTAAAGGAGCATGCCATATGTTGTGGTATTACATAAATACCCAATAAGCAGGCTTTGTATATTGCAAAATGGATTTCTGTTACAGTTCCTTATACTTGTGTGCTAAAATTTAGGGACCATTTCATCACTGGGAGCACATTGAATGTCTTGCTTGGTAGGTCTCAAGTATCATGCAGAAGCCATGGCATATCTCTATTTTCGAGGAACAGAAGCTTCCTCAAACTAGATCAGTGTAATTTTTGAATAAACTCATGGGAAACCATTAACTGAATCCCATGTGTTTCTTAGCCTTTCTTTAATATGCTTTCCTAAACTGTTGCGAAGTCACTACCTTCTGTATTCATTTTCATGTTGTTTGTTTAGTTATAAATTATTGCAGTGCTTTGCCTTTTTTAGCAGTACCCGAGTTAATGATGGTGTCTCTTGTTAGTTTAGGTGACATAGATTAAGAAAGGATCTGAAACTCATTTGAATCACTAGATTTGGTTTTGTTCTTATTGGATCTGCTAGTTACATTTCACTGTAACGATGATGGTTTTATTGTTTGTTTGAGGGTTTTGTTTTGTTCTCTTTTTTTCTTTGTGTAAACCTGTTTTTGTTAATTATGTGATTAATTCTGTGATTTCTTTGATCATAGATACTTTTCCCGTAGCTTTTCTTATGTACAATATTAATCACTTAGAAGAGACATGTTGTCGACCATGTGTACATTTCAGATAAATCTGTGAAAAGTTGCAGTAATAACAGTTTGATAGAGATTTTTAATGGATAATGGTAGAATAAAGTATCCATTTTGTCTTCAAGCAGTTAAACTTATGAAACATCTGTTCCTCTTAAAAACACAATCATGAAATTCGTTCTATTTTAGCTATTTCTGTTATGTAATTTGTTGCTAATTACAATATAAAATTGTTCTTTTTTTTCTTCTATACTAACAAATTAATATCTCACAGTCAGTAAATTAGGTTTTCAGTTTTTCTAGGGAATAAGTAGATTATTTGGTTTGGTTTTGAAAGTATTTTTAAAAAATTTAATTTCTGATTGGTTTTTAATAATGCTAGTATTTTGGAGGAAGCCTATAGAATACTGTTGGCTTTTTTAATTAAATGTTAGATACTGTTGGATTGAAAGTAGTCTCTGATACTCCCCACTCCCCCAACGTCCTCAGCAAGAAAATGCTTACTTCCTTTCTTTTCTTTTAGGGGTCCTGTGTCTAAACTAACCTTCAAATTGTTCCTGGCTGTTCTGTGTTCACTTATTGGTGCTTTTTTGACATTCCCTGGCTTGCGACTGGCTCAAATGCATCTGGATGCTCTGAATTTAGCTACAGAAAAAATAACACAGTAAGAGAAAATATATGCAAATAGGTATATGCTACTCAGTCTTAAATCTTTTATGTCTAAAAGTGTCTAAGCAAACTATTCCAACAAGAAGGTAGTGACTTAAGACTTCTGTTGCTGCCTGCTTTTCGTATCTTGAGCAGATTTGCCACCTGCCACTTTCTGCTCAACCTGTGCTTTTGCCAGTCTGTTACATTCTTTGCCTTGTAATTAAGAGTCTCAATTAAAGGAGCTTTCCTTTCCTCCTGCAAAAACTCCACCATGAATGTCTCTGTGCCCAGCTTTCTTTCCACCATCATGTCTTTCCAGAAGTTAAGATAACCTTCAGGAAATACAAATATGACCACAGACTGGTTTTTTTCACCCACACTTACAGATGGGAATTATTCCTTTAATTAATTTAGCATAGGATAAAATGTAAAAATGACCCAGAATATTTAATTAGGGTCATATGTTAATACCAATTTAAAGGAGTATTTTCATTTTCTGCCGCCCTTCCATTTGGTAGTAAAATGTTCTGTCCAATTTAACTATTTTTCTTGAACATTCTCTGGTTGAGAGGGTGAAATTCCAAGTGGCTTTCAGAGATCTTGACTGTTGATGTTTAGTACATGATAATGACAGATTCTGCAGCATAGGGCAGTTTAGGTATTCAGTGTGGTAAATTTCCTAAGAGAACCACTATGTTTTCCAGCAGGAAAATAATTTTTGTTCAAATTGCATTTTTTTTCCTTTCCCTTCAGGAATGCCCAGCTTAAAAATTAATCTGTTTGAAGTGAGTCCATCAGTCTTGGTAATTTATAAGCATTGAGTACACTTGCACTCAATGTAATTTTCTATGTAGCGGCCAGCTACTGGATTGTTTTATCTGCTGTTGCATTTCTGTCTGTGTGTAGACTGTGACTGAGTCACTTCCTAATCTGTTCTTTCCAGACAGATAAACTCCTTAGTTCTTAATTGCTATAGTTCTCACTGTTTTAAAATTCTTTTCTCTAAGTATTCCAGCATCTTCCTTGATCAATGGACATAACATCCTAGGCAGAAATATAAACTCTCTGAAACAAAAATCCATTAATTAAGAACTAAAGGGCAATTAATATCCACTGAAGTGTGGTTATGAAAATTAAAACTTCTCCAGCTTCTTTAGGCGGTATCGGAACTGGTTGTTGAAGATAACTTTGTTCAACATCACCAAGTTATTTTTGAAAGTCTACCAATAGACTATTCAACTGGAACAATGTGAAAATTACATTAAATGAGTATTAAATGGATACATGATAAGGTATCCATATAATTAGATAAAGCCATTATAAAGAATATTTGTCAAGTGATAGGTTCTAACAAACCTGAAGAACATAACTTGTCCTTGCTGATGCATTTTTGCTAGTGTTATTGACTACACTTGTTTGACAGTGATTAAAGAGGGGGGATTGTAAATGAGGATGACTTGTCACTGATAGAAGCTCTCTAAGTTGAGTACTAAAACAATGTCTATCTTTGCAGTCAAATACATACTCTACTTAAAAAACCTCAACCAAAACAACTGCAAAGAAAAAGCTCACCAACTAAACAAAATACAAAAACAGCTTAAACCAAAGAAAAAATCATAATCAAACTAAAAGCCCCCACATCCCTCAAGATGCCCGAAAAACCCACAAATCTCTCTTAAAACCCAACAAAAGGACCAAAACAGAACAACTCAAAAATATCCAACACAAAATCTATTCCTTAATGGAATGGAACACTTAACTTGCAGGGAGCAATGACCATAGAAAGCCCCAAAACTTAAAGGTTAATGAGCAAGAACTATTTTACTAATATGTTCAAAATTATTATTGTGATTCTTTTATGAGTAAGTTCATTGTTTTTAGGTAAACAGAATAGAAATAAATAATCTGGTGTCCCTTTCAGTTTTGAGAACTGGTTTGATTTTTTTTCTTTGGCAGTAGTATCCTTACTTGCATATATTTGGAGTCCTCTTAACAAAGTTGTACAATTTTCATACACATTTCCTCCTTTGCCAGAGTCTGCATCAAGAGTATTTCAGCCTTACTTCCTGTTCCATTAAACAAAAACAAAACAAAAAGAACAAAAAAAATAGAGATTCTCACCACCCTTTGGCACACTGCAGTCCATTACTCCAGTCTGTTAACTCAGTAGGATCTCCTAAATAGGTAGAAGCTCAGGTAAAAGGCTTTCACAATCTAATTAAATGCTTTGGGCCGATCCTTGGTGCTGTTGCATTCCCAAGCACCACTTAATAGCTAGCAGGGTTTATTTCTTTATCTGAAACTGAAGATCTAAATTTGTGTTTGATGACAGCTTCTGTATTATGCAAACATTTTAGTGGTTTTAGGAAGCTTGATAGTTGGCAATCAAGAAGGTCTTGTGTTCTTTAGAACGATTTTTGATTACATAATTTTTTCTGTAGTGCAGAAGTACTGTAGTGAAGGTAGAGACAAACCTGATACTATTAGTAAGGAAACACTGATAACAAAACAACCCAATCCCTTCAACTGTTCTCATTTCATTTTAGTAATGAAAAATGACTGGGGAAAATGGGTTTAGAAATAGAGAAGAAAATTCAGAAGTTTAGAAATAAAGAAGGATATTAATTTAAGGGAGAACTCCAGAAACTGTATCCCCTTTTAAAATTCTACTAGGTTGTACTCAAAGATTACTAAATAGTACCACTTTTATTTTTGTTGTGCAGTTTCATACAGTATTTTTTTGGTCTGAGTATCTTTAATGTAAGTACCAACTTTAATTTAATCAGGGTTTCTAAATAAAATGCTTCATTAAACTGTGTAATCTGACCTCTGACAACTGTTTATCCTCTTCTTTTTAAAGCCAAAATCCAGTGTGATTTCACAATATATAATGTTACTGTTTTGTTGAAATGTAAGCCATACCTATAAAATAGGGAAGAAATTTTCTTATTTATCTTTCTTCCAATTATTTTAAAGTTAATATTTCTCCTTTTGAATCTGTATATACTTTCAACAATATGGTCATTGTTTTCATTTACTAAGTTTCGTGGTTTTTTTCTTTTTTCAGAACATTGCTACATATAAACTTCTTGGCACCTTTATTTATGGTTCTACTGTGGGTAAAACCAATCACTAAGGACTACATTATGAGCCCACCTTTGGGCAAAGAGAGCATTCCTTTGTAAGATTGCATTTAAAAGTTCTTTCTGGGGTATTGAGAACAAAACATTGTCTTAGTGCTCTTTGCAAGTTGAAGAACATGAAAGACTTTAATAGCATTGGCTGTCAGAGGTATTGTGGAAGATGCAGCTGAATTATAAGGAGCATCTGTTATTTCAAAAGAATGAGTTGCAGAATGTTGAGTGTTAAGATAGTGGTTCCCAAAAAACTACTGTCTCTTGATGACTCCTTGGCAGTAATGTGTTGTTTTTTGTGGGGGTGGAATACCACCTCGCTACCTGCTGGAACCTTATGTCTTGCATATTGGTGTAGGAGAGAAGTGGTTTCAGTGAAAACAGTGGTATGTTGGCATGAGAACTAAGCTAGGAGGTTTGTCTTAATATTTACATACTGAATGAAGTGGTATTGAATTGATAGGTAAAATATTTAGAATATAGAAAGGGAGAGAGTATCCAGGAAGAGTGGTATTTGAAATGATGTATAAGTAGAGTTGATTGTCATTGTCACAATTAATCTTGCTAATTCAAAATAGACTAGAAAGAGATGAGATAACCTTCTAAAGTGATCCTGTGACCATTGAGCTATTACATAAAACACAACAGATATACATATTTTGTATGTCTTCTGTTTCTCAGTTTGTCTTAAAATGAGGGTTGAGCTTTTACTGGGTATCTCAGGTAACTGAAGATACAATTTAGTACTAGATGCAATTTAGTGCTACCATTTACAATCTAGTACTATTTACTATCTAGTCCTGTGTGTTCAAAAACCCCTAATTATCCGAGAAATCTTCGTTTTTAGTGTCCAGCCTTCATTTCTTAGAATTTAGGCAGTTAAGAACTGCTATTGTTTACAGACAAATGAATACTAATTTGGATCTGTGTTGTGGGGCTACTGAGAAGTAATGGGAAAGAGAAATAGAAGGCATTACTTGCATGTGAACTTCATAACTATAGTTTGTGTGTTAACTGTTTTTGACAATTTGTCTCAAGATTACTTTACACATTATAAAAACAAATAACTGTAGCAGTAGGTGGTCTTTGGAAAACAGCATCACCCTTTTTCTTTATCCACAGAATGTCAGAAGATACATTTGATACCATCAGATTGTGGATTATAATCCTGTTGTGTGTTTTACGGTTGGCTATGATGCGTCATCACTTACAGGCCTATCTGAATTTAGCCCAGAAAAGCGTGGAGCAGATGAAAAAGGAAGCTGGTAGAATAAGTATGGTTGATTTACAAAAAATGGTAAGTATGGTGGCACTTAGATTATGAATTTGTAGTATTTTGACTGTGGAAATGATTTTTTTCTAATTTGTTGTATTCTGTGGCAGCAGAGCTCAAATCTGAATGAAGCTTTGTAGACTATATCTCCTATAAAAATACAGAAAAATCCGGCAAACCAAAATACGGAGAGATGTATCATCTCTGTTATGCAGGTAGTTTGTCCTGGGTTATTTGGAAGTTTTATAGAAGATCCCTTCCAAGGAGTGGTGATCTGTAACTACAAAATGGGAAAGAAAAAATTGAATTTTTATTGAAGGGTAATATACTGTTACCAACTATGATTTTTAAATTGAGGGAAAATTTATGACAAGGTGGTTATATTTTGGAATAAAATGACAGGTGTTTGATTCTGTCAGACCATTTAGAAGTGCACCAGCCTAGTTAAAAAATTACTTATCATATTGTGGACAAAATTTCCAAGGTTTCGTTGTTTTAAAGAAAAGTAGTAAAGCATACCTTGAACAAATGGATGAGATAGAATGGCTGTTGTGTGTTGTCTGGAAAAGAAACTTACATTTTTATTGTTGTATGATAGTGCTGTCTAATGATTCTGATAAGCTGGGGTCTGTTTCAGGCAGAATATTTGAAGCATGCCGTAAGACAGAGACTCCTCTTCTAGGATTGTCATTATTACATGTAGTTACACTAAGTGTCTAAATGCCATAGTCTGAAGGTGCAGTAGTTATTTACAAAGTGGCTAGGAATTTGTTCCAGGAAAAAAGACTACAAAGTACATGTAGTAGCAGCTGGTTAGGATGGAACTGTGCCAGTTGCTGTAAATGTGCTATTTTAATACTGGGAATTTTATTCCTGTCTGTAAAACATTAATGTCTTCTCCGTGTGGCATTTCTTATATCCATTTCTCCATCTTCATATATTCTGTTTAAGAAGGCCATAGTTACTAGATGGCCTATGACTTGTTTTGTTTTACTAATCATATCTGCTTTACCTTTTTTAGGAATTTGTGCCAGTGAATTCTTTCCTGTCTGTCATTCTACAGTGATCATTATTTTTTAATTTGTTATTTTCGTCATATTCCATAAATTTTTTGACAATTTTTTTTGTCTTATGCTTTTTCTTCTGTCAATGTCTTACTACTTTTCTTTCTCATGTTAATTTTTTGATACATGCTCATTAAGAAGCCTGTTGAGAGGTATTCCCAAAACTATCACATCTATCTTCATCATTTTTGCCAACCTGCATTCTCTTCTTTTATAAAACATGAGTAGTTTTATTTCACTGCTTGCGTGCTCTTATTTTATAACTTTTTCGCGTCTTTATTTAATCTTTTTGGTCAATAGAATACATAATGTTACAATCTTGAGAAAAGTGGAACCTGTGGGAGGGTAGAGGGAGGGATATATCTGAATGGACTTTGATGAACCATGGTGTATAACTGAAATAAAGATCATTTAAATGCTGCTATTGATCTAATGAAAACTCAAGTTACCATTGTTTCTGAAATACAAATGTTTTCCAGCTGAAAATCTTAAAAATATCTCACTTTTGAAAAAGGACTGTAATATTAATGAAGCTTTCATTTACCTTTTATGGGGCTTCAGACTACTACTTCATTTTTGAAATAGGATTTAGCTGGTAAATGGCCGTGAACTTGAAAAAGTAAACATATATATTTAATTTTGTTTCTGGTGTATTAAAGTAGGAGTCATTGAATAATGGCATACAGTTTGCAGAAGCAAAATTGATTCTCTATTTTTTAACAGATTTGATGCTTTTAATTATTTTCTTTCAGCCCTTCTTTTCAGTTTTGTAAATGTCCTGAAACTAGAATTCATTATGGGGATTTCTTTAATAGGTCTTTTGAAGACAGTATGTCCCATGCCAGGAGTTACTAGAAAATTCTTAAAACAGCTTTAGTGCATAAATACTGTTTTTTTGAATAAATTGTTTTTTCTAGACGTGTCCATAAAAGTCTGCTTTGATGAAGCAGGAATCATGAACTTATACTCTTTCTTTTTTCTAGGTGGCTCGGGTATTCTATTATCTCTGTGTAATTGCACTGCAGTATGTTGCACCATTGGTAATGCTTCTTCACACAACTCTGCTTTTAAAAACACTAGGTAGGCAAAATTGGATCAACAGTAGTTTATTCTATTCTACAGAGAGCTTTTTTTATTTTCACCTGAGTAAAGAGAATTAGAATTCATGAGTACTTGCAATACAAAAACATCTTGTAGTTTCCTGTAATTTAAAACATTCATATGTGTCTTGTAAGTAGTTATTTCTGTTGCTGCTTTCGATATCTTCCAATTACATGCTAATTTGTTTTATTTATTTGTGAGAGATTGTGTAATGCAATAAATTAAACTGTTTACTTCCGTTGAAATATTTGTCTATTTAGAAGGATTTAAAAAGTGGACTGTATAAAGTATGATTGACTCTACTTCATTAACGTCTCATACACGATTTTTTCAGCTTTTTTATCATTAGTAGGCTTTTAGAATGGAAATTGTGAGATAGAGGGTTCATGTAGTTAGTGGGAGATCTGAAGTAGCTCTGGTTTGGGTTTCTTTCTTTCTTTCTT